AGATGGCATGTATTGTGTCAAGCTCTTGACAGACTCCACCATCTGTAGCAGGTTGAAGGACAATCACCTTGTACTTCGCTGCTTTGGCATGCCCTCCTCTGACCCAATTGTGGTACCATAATGTTTTGACAAGGCCTAGAAGGTATTGTTGTCAGCAAACAAGTGAGTTTGTGAAGGGTGAAGGAGGGGATGAGTTATGTGGTTGCGTTGCTGAAGTAATGCAACCACCAGAGAGGCAAAGGGCACGGGAGGATCAAGGGGAGGATTCCCACCTTGTAGGAAGGTATGCATGGGGTCAATGACTCCCATAGTCACTGCATCAAAGTATGGCAGCCAGTTGAACTCAGACCACCTAACTCCATACTTTGAGAAGTACTCGGTTATCTTCTTCTGGGGTGTGTTCTCTTGTTGGAATGTGTACATACACACTCCTCCTCTCTTGTGAGTCTTGCCATCGCATAGCAGTATACCTTCTGTCTTCCAGCTTTGCTTAATGGCGTCATTGCATGAGATTTCACACTGGGTGCATGGCTATTTGTTGTGGCATTGATTGGCAAAGCCACACATCTTGCAGAGGGCAGAGTGATTGCAGATGATACCCAACAGGGCCACTCTGACCAAGCAACCTACATAAGATAACAGATCCATCAGCCATCTGTTATGTGGTTGTGTCGCCTGAGAATGCACCTTGGGGATATTTGGGCATCTTAATGACCAGCCCATCATTCTACAGACACAAGAGGTTGTCAACAAGTGGACACAGGAATGGTTGGAGCTGTTGGGCATTGGGTTCCTTGGGACCAGGGAGGATCCCAATTAGGCAGAGATTTCGTACACAGAATCTTGGGAGAAGTTAGAGAGGGATGGGAGGAGAAGGGAGGCAAAACATACCTTAGCTCTGGAGGAAGGTTAGTGATACAAACAGACAATGGCCCAGTGGAATGGGACTTGGATACCGTGGACTGGCTGGGGCTAAACCGGTCCATAGAAAGCAGAACGCCCAGCCACAGCTTGTTCTGCTCGATTGCTTCTTGCCAGGTTTGGGGGAAAAAACAAGTGCCTGTGGGTGTAACCATGTTCTTCCAGACTGAGCCATCATGAATACCACAGTACATGTCGTTAGAAGGTTGAATATCCAGATAGGATTTGCATGCATCCTTGAATCCAGGTTGAGTAAGAATGTTGGGAAGCTGCAGGCTGAGAACATCATAGAGGGCACTTTGTCAAGCATGTCGAAGGCCAGAGTTAGAGGTACATTTGTATAGAGATTCCCCACAATGCAAGCAAAGCTTTTGCCAAGCTTCTTCAGGAGTTTGGGATTCTGT